GAGTGGGGACCCAGACTTCTGAGAAGGGGACGGTGGCCGGCTAGTGCGGATTTATCAAGCGCACACACGAGGGGCCCCGAGGAGTTGGGACACAGATCTCTTGGCCGGGGTGCTGCTCGGCCAGGCAGGTATCTCATGCGGATGTGCAAAAGAGCTGGTTCTGGGAAAGTGGAAAACCTTGGGAACCAACTGCTACTGGAAACCAATGCTGCTGCCTGGGCCAAGGGCTGTTGCTGGGTAACTGGCAGGAACAGGAAGCAACCAGAAAGGGGCTGGCCCCTTCTTTCCCCCCCTCACCCCTCCTCCTTCCAGCCTTCCAGGCTCCCTCTGATGGGCCCTGCTGGCAAAGAGGAAATGTTTGCAGAGCCCTCACCCCCACAACACAAAGCAGTGTGGAGGGACCATGACAGTCATGGGCCCAAAGACATCAGGTGTCAATTACTCTCACGTTCTGAAATTTGCTAGAATAACCAACAGGCCTTCAGAAGAGCCTGAAATCGGTTGTTTTTAAAATTGTGCTAAAATATACAAAACATAAAATTTACCCCAAACTCAGCTCTTCAATCCAGTCTTGGTTTGTGACAATGCTTTCATCAATCTGTAGTAGAATGAGAAAATTAAAGAAGGTTTAGTCAGTTTTCCTAAAGCTAAATTTTACTCACTTTTAAAGGACTTATTTAAAGTTTGAAATTATGGTCTCCCAACTTTTGTGTGGGTAAATTGTCCATTCATCTATGTTCTAATGGGGACAATAAATTATAGGTTTTAAGTGTGTGTGTGTGTGTGTGTGTGTGTGTGTGTGTGTGTGTGATGGTATAGCCTTTGGGTAAAGAGTCAGCTGGTCCCTCTGGTTCTCCAAATATCCCTTTGAAAATGTGGGGGTCTGTGAAATCCACAAGAGTGAGAAATCCTGGACTGCTAGGTTAGGGCCTAAACTCGGGGTGAGGCAATGGGGGAAATGATGGGAGACACATAAGAGGAGTGAGACACAGGCGGAATCTGTAGGACAAGATACCTTGCCCTAACTGGTTTGGCTCAGTGGATAGAGCGTCAGCCTGCAGACTGAAAGGTCCCAGGTTCGATTCCAGTCAAGGGCATGTACCTTAGTTGCGGGCACATCCCCAGTAGGGAGTGGGCAGGAGGCAGCTGATCGATGTTCCTTTCTCTTATATGTTTCTAACTCTCAATCCCTCTCCCTTCCTCTCTATAAAAAAAATCAATAAAACATTTAAAAAAAAAAAGATACCTGACAGTCCCGAATTTACTGCACTTTGTATGCGCATGACTCTCTTTCCGACCCTCAAATGTACAATCAGATGTTTTTATCAATAATCCCATGAGCAGCTCTTTGGGGTCAATTGTATTAGAAACACTTAATGAAATACACTAATACATAATTTGTCCTCACATTTCTCCCTTAATTCCATTCTTAGAAAAGCATCACCTAATTGGTAGTTTTGTCATTGACTACCATGGTCTTCAGGTAAAACTCCTTCTTGAACAGTCGTTTGACAGTTAAATGGCTGTGGCATTCCTTGCCGCCCACCTGCCGGAACCTCCTCTCCTAAGAGGAAGGAGGCTCAAAGCTCTGTTCCTCTGGTCTCCTTTCACAATAACAGAGCAGCCTTCTCCCGGCTGCTGTGCTTGACTCCAATGACCTTCATCCTCACACAGGCTGAGAGCCGGTTTGGTCAAATTGACACCAATTCATGGGGTATATTGCACATTCACGTATGTGCTACTGGTGACAATAAATAAACTTTTAAATAGTGTGTGTGTGTGTATGTGTGTGTGTGTTTGTGTGTGTTAGTCTAGCCTTCAGGTAAAGACAATATACCCCCACAATAATGGACATTATACCCCCGCAATGACACCACTGAGGGATGCTCAGTGTTACATTTTCATTTATCTTGAATCTCATCTATTTCATTTCCTCGTTCTTTTCTGGCCTTCTCTCATCTACAAATCAGAATGACTTGTAATCGAGTTCCGATGAATAGGGCCGAGTCCTCTCCTGTGGAGGAGCCACCTTTGATAACAGCTCTCACCATCAGTATTGTGCTGCGAGTTCTGGTCTTTCATGTTTTGTTTTTGCCTCCCGTCTGCCCTGCCATGCGTGCGTGCACACACAGTCCCCAAGATGGTATCACCTTCATTTTCTGCATTTAGATTTTAAAGATAATACCTTACTCCCAAATGAATTCAATGTAGGCACATAGTGCTTGAACTTTTCAAGAAAAACAAAGTATTTGGGGGGGGGAATATTTGATCCCTTTCCCTTAGGATAAACTCCCCTCATTTCTTTCCACTTTCTTTCAAAATATATTTACTCCAGAGTAACCTGTTGGTACCTGTTGGAAATCCAGAGAGGGTCATATTGTCCCAGTGCCGCATGTTTTATTGTTCTGAAGTCCTGAGTGTGTTCTACGTGTAAGATTTCAATCAGAAATATCAGGTGTTCCTTTCTTACCATTTCTCCTATGATCTCTCTCTTTTGCATCATTAAGGAGTTCTGTGTAACATAGGGAATATTCTTAGAACAGCACCCTCATTATTTAGAGGGAGTAATACTCAGAGACAATTATAAAGGCTAATATTGCATGCTACCTCTACTTTTCTATCAAACACTCATGCTTGCTACCTACTCTTGTCATTTTTGTCATCCTTCTTCTGCATTGCTGTTGATTAGGCTGTAGCTTCTTGAGATGGGGACTGCCCATCTTTTACCCAGTAGATTCTTGGTCCCTATATTTTTAATTAAATTTAATTATGGTAGAGGCAGCACATGCTAACCTCTCCTTTAATGATAATTTACAAGGGTTAAATATTGACAATCCTTGATGTTCTAACCTCATTCCTTTTCTTACTCTACACAATCTCTCTTCATCTAATCTCCTATGGTTCTGTCTAAAGTATTTAATCAGGTTCTTTCTCTATCTTCATTGTGAAGCTGGCCAGGTAATACCAGTCTACACTATTGCCAGAGAAGAGTTAAAAAACCCCAAATCAAATTTTGTCATTTCTCTTGTTAAAATAATTCAGTGGTTCCCCATTATGTTCAGGATAAAGTCCAAACTTCAACTAGGCCCTCTGTGGTCTGACTCCCGCTTACTCTTCCAGGCTTATATGGCACCACAGTCTTCCCCTCCTCCTTCCCTCCCACCAACACTAAAGTGAAGTGTGTATAGTTAAGTGGTTCAAATCCTGCCTCTGCCATTTACTAGCTAGGTAACCTTAGAAAGTCACTATGTAATCTCTGCCTTACTTTTCTATAAAATGAGGGACCCAGTAGTTTCTATTTCATATAGTAATTTGATAGACTCCACAATTTAATATATGTTAAATGCTTATAATGGCCTGGCTGACAGTAAGTAATTAATGTATGTCTGTGTTTTGTGTCTTGCTGTTAATTGTTGTTAATCTACTGGAAGTTCATCAGAGATTGTCATCGCTCTCATTTCTTCCTTTTTGCATACGCTGTTTCCCATGCTTAGAGTCACCCACTCCACCTGTACCTGACTTACCCCTGCTGTCTCCTGAGCTTCTGCTTGGATATAAGCCTGTCAGGGCAGCTAATCCATTTAGGCGCTGAAGGCTGAAGGGAAGGTGCCCAGACAGCGTTGGCTGGTGACAGTGGAGCGCCTAGGTCAGGCCAGGGAAGAGTGATTGCAAATGAGAGCCTTTAGTTGCAGGAAGGGCACAAGGCTCCATAAATGAACATGCCTTCTCTATGATTAATGCAAGCTCTGACAGTGCATGAGGAAAGATGAGGTCCTTTGACTAACAGCTCTTTCAAGATCCTTCTTCTTTTTAAAAATATGTTTTTATTCATTTTAGAGAGGAAAGGAGAGGGAGAGAGAGAAAGAAACATCAATAATGATGAGAGAGAATCATAGATGGGTTGCCTCCTGCACACCCCCTACTGGGATTGAGCCTACAACCCAGGCATGTGCTCTGACTGGGAATGGAACCATGATCACTTGGTTCATAGATCGACACTCAACCACTGAGCAGCACCAGCTGGGCAAGATCCTTCTTAAATATTCTTCCTACAGAGTCACGCTTTGCAGTTCTCAGTGGTACAGATTATATACCTGCATATGATGGATGGAGAGATGACTGGGGTTTAAATATTCCAAAGACCAGAGAGCTTTTCAAAGCATACCCAAATCATTGATTCTTAAACAAGGACCCAGATTGGGGTGGGATGGGGGACAGGAGGAAGGTGGGGAAAGCCACATGCACCCCACCATCTTGAGAATCACTGTACATAGTAAGAGGTGCAGTTTGTGGCAGTGAGGTGCACACACAAAGGATATGAAGTCTACAAAAATGGTTGAGCACTGTGATCACATTGAGGTCCATTTGCCTCATTTACAGATGAGGAATCTGGCCCGAGATTTCACAGGTTGGGCTTTTCCTACCACACCAGCTCTTCAGACCTCATTTTGTTCCCCTAAGACCTCTGCATTGCAGAGTGCTTTTTGGCATACAAGGTCCTTTTTTAAAATTTTTTAGTAACTGAGAGCTTTTTGATGGGTTTCATGTCAGACCCACTCTGTTATGAAAAATGCAAAAAGTGAATGTGAGCAAGAAGAATAGGAGAACTTGTCAGAGTGGCATGGAAGTAGCTGATAATACGAACAAATATTGAACAGTACTGGAATGATTTAGCACAATTTAGTAATAGTGTCTTAAATAGGTAGTACATTTAATTAAGCCACTGTATTCCAAGTTGACTCTGTGTGCTTGTAATTTTTCCGGGGACAAGATGAAACCATTCAATTTAATTTTAGGGCAAAGTACAGTGCATTTTACAGAAAGCTTAGGAATTAATTCAGAAACTGCTCTTAGAGTTCTGGCGTATTCCACAGATCTTAACAGTTCTTTCTCATCCCGTCTTCTCTGGGTAATATCTGGATAGATCCAGAGGTCAACCTGGACTCCACATTTTTATTATGTAAAATAACACTTACCATTTGTTTGTTTTTTCCTAATAGGGCCTGTGTCCCCTGCAGAGTGGCTCATCATGTGAAGGAATCTCTACTTGATGTCACCCTAGTACTTTTCACCTTTCACACTGAGAAGGTTGTGAGCAACAACTGTCACTCTCTGAGGGTGGAAATTGCCATGATTCACAAAGACAAGAAGTAATTTTCCTGTAATCACAAGATGACTCAGGTTAGTTGCTTTTAGCTATTACTACAGTTTAAATAATCTGAGGTTTTGGGCCCTGTCCATGTTTAGTAAACCTAATTAATCCCAATTCCTATAATTTTAAGTTTATGACAATGATATAAAGTTGGAATTTATTTTTACACTAGGTAGGAAAAAGAATTTGAAAATAGTTGTACAGACTAAGTTAAAATTACAAGACTCTACAGTATTTGGGGTTTTTTAGAGTGTAAAATGCTTTTCTAGAACATAAAAGCATTGCTAAATGATACTTTTTTATTATACAAAAGTTTGCAATATAATTTGTACTTGAAAGTAATTATGTAAATGTTAAGTTTGAAGAATCACCTGTTAAAAGCTAAAAAAAAACAAAAACACCCATGTATTTTATGATTAAGTATAAGTAAATTCTTTGAACTGTCTTGACCAACTTGTATTTTTATTTTAGAATTATAGTTTAAATACATCTTTAAAATGTAAAACAGAGTTTTATTCCCTCATTTTAAATACTGTGTCTTCTGTGGTTTTTATAGTGGGAGAACAATTTACATTTTTTTAGTTATATGAGTGTGGCTGTTGCATGCCTAGGGTATAGCTCAGTGATTCCCAAAGTGGGCGCTACTGCCCCCCGGTGGGCGCTGCAGCGATCCAGGAGGGCGGTGATGGCCACAGGTGCATTTGGGGGCGATGAGTAACTATTAAAATTTAAAAAAATTTAATTTCCAGGTACGAGTGTGGCTGTTGTATGCCTAGGTTATAGCTCTAAAACAGGCCTCTGCTAGGGCAGGAAATCTGTTGTCTTGCAGAGGATGCTTAGGAAACAGCTCATTGATCCATTGATTCTACAGTTAATTACTGAGTGACAGCCCTGGGTCCAGTTCCTTCCCTCCAGGATCTTCCAATCTAGTTGGGGGCATATACAGAGTATAGAGTTCAAGATGGTATCGGGAGAAATGCCCTAAGAGTGACAGAGATAATAAATACGCAGGACACAAAAATACTGGGAGAGATTGTTTTTAGCTATAGGAGGAGGAAGCTGTGCGAGACTCTGAAGGCCAGGTGAGATTTTGGAGCGGGTAGGTGATAGGAGAGCATTTCAGATGAGAGAGAGCTGCCTGCTGACTTCAGCAAAGACCTCAGTGAGGAGCGATAGAGGAGTTTACTGACTGAGTCGGGAAGGGTAAGGAGTGGCTCACAAGACTTCAAGGACTAGTCTCAGGGACCGGAAGCAGGACACTCTGCTGCCATGTTTTGTTTTGTTTTTCCTCTCCATTTGTCTCTTATTCTGTTTGCTCCCCTGACTTCATTTTCTTCAACTCTCATCCATGTCTTTTCCTGGGGAAGAAAATGGCCAGTGGCAGCCTGACCTTTATGCCTTTCCTGCTCTGTGATGCCAGAGGCAAGGCCAACATTTCTTTGGCTCTACACTGAGCTATCTCGAGGAAGGGCTCTGATTGGCTCAGCTTTTATCACCTGGCCACCCTTGAACCAATGATTGTGTCCAGGAATATAGGATACCATGATTGGCCAGGGCTAGGTCACATGCCCATCCAGGGAAGGCAAGATACAAATTATTAGAAGTAGGAAGGTGAACTTGGTTGGACAAATAAAGACAATAGATAGTCTAGCCTACTCAGAGCTAGATATACCTAAAGTGATATTTTAATATTGTAAATCCAATCATGTTGCCCCCCAACTCATCTACCAACTTAAAACCTCTTTCTGTTGCTCTTAAAAAACTCCCAATTGGATGAACTGTTGAACAAAATAGATCCAAAGACAGAGAAGCATGGGACAGACTAACTTCAGAAATACTATGCAGCAGTAAAAAAGAAGCATTTCTTACCCTTTGAAACAGCCTGGATGGACCTGAAGAATATTATGCCAAGCGAAATAAGCCAGTCAGAGAAAGGTAAGTATCACATGATCTCACTCATATGTGTGAACAAAATAAACTGATGAAGAAAATAGGTCTAGAGATATAGAAGCTTGGAAGAGACTGTGGAATCTCAGAGGGAAGGTGGAGATAGGTGGGTACAGATCAACAAAATAAGTTATATGCATATAATCATTATCCCCATGGACAGACAACAGGGTGGTGAAGGCCTAAAAGAGGCCAATGGAGGTGGGGGGGGAGGGGGACATATGTAATACTTTCAACAATAAAGACTTAAAAAAAAAACCTCCAAATTGAGTCTTCAGATTTTCAGTGCATTACTTTATGTGACTTCTCCTTACCCTTCAAATTATTTTCTCTTCTCTCATGACTCACCAACAAGGCATCAGCTACAGGGGTCCAGAATTTGACTGCACACAGATTAGGAAGCCTGGCTAAACCAAACCCTGTCTCCCTAGCTTCTCCTTGAACCCTGCACTTTTATTTTACTACGAGTCTTACTAGCTTAATTACATTACCAAATTCTCAAGGAATTTGCATATATAATTCACATGGAAAATATTGCAGGAAATTTAAATCCACAGAGTCAAAAATGTCATACTGGATAGTCCTAGCTACAAATCGATTTCACAGTCAGCTATTTGTTCTGCAGTGTATAACATTAACTGGAAAATATAATAAAACAAAAAAATAGATTTATATGGTTCCCACAATATAGTTACTTGTTTATGGTAGAGGCCAGGCAATTAGGAGAGGACTTAGAGAACGTTCTCCAAGGGGTGTTGTTCAGATACTACAAATTCTGAGCTGGTAGCTAGAGCCAAATTGAAGGGAATTGAGTTTTTGTTGATTGCCACTTAACATTTGCAAGTGCAATAAAGTTTATTTGTTCTAGGTTCTCGAAATTGTATTGTCTGATTGATCTCTTAAAGGGAAAACATTTAAACAGACTAAGTCTACTGAAAAAATTTTTTTTTATTCTACTGAGATTTTGATTTAAAAGAAAAGCACTCAGTGTTTTGGTTTTTTTCTGGTGTGTAGGCAGTTGTAGCCAGCCATATGTTTACTTTGTAAATTCTAGTTGAGGGTGCAATATAAGCTGTTTCAATTTGGGTGGAAGTTTTGTCAGACCTCACAAATGAGATCTGTACTCTGTTAGGAGTTTGCCAGATTTGCTGGGACTGTGTGCAGGTCCATGGTAATTAAGGATAACCTACTCCTAATTTGTTTAAAGAGTAAATCCTAAAAGTCTCTTTCTTGCTATAGAAGGAATGATGAAATTAGAATACAGTTGTCCCCTGTATCTCCTAGTGAATGCCTGAGCCATCGATAATACTGAACCCTATATGCACTATGTTTTTTCTATACATATAGGAGGTTTACATATACATATATAAAGTTTAATTTCTAAATTAGGCACAATAAGAGATTAATAACAATAACTACAATAAAATAGTTTGTAATAACAGTTATGTGAATGTGGTCTTTCTCTCTAAATATCTTAGTGTACTGTACTCACCCTTCTTATGATGATGTGAGATGATACAATGCCTTCGTGATGAGATGAAGTGAGGTGGATATGATGGACAAAAGGATAATTCATGTCCTGGGCAGGACGTAGGGGGATGGCAACAGATTTCATCATGCTACTCAGAACAGCGTACAGTTTAAAACTTATGAATTGTTTCTTTCTGGAATTTTCGATTTAATATTTTCAGACTGTGGTTGGCCATGGGTAACTTAAACCTCAGAAAGCAAAATTGGATATGAGGGGGAGGCGGGGAACTACTCTATTGTTATTTGATGATAATTGTGGTAATGATTGTTTTAAGTAAGAGTCATCAGTGGATTGGATGCTAAAACTGGTGTGAGAGAGGATGAGAAACAGGATGTTTCCATAGTCTCAAGAGATTTTGTTGCTGGTGGAAAGAGGGTTCTTCCACGGAGTCACGAGAAAAGCATTTTGAGGCCCCCCCATGAGGAGGATGAGGTGTCGTGGTAAGATTTATTGGAGCAATAACAGACTGTCCCCAGGTGCCTGGTGTCTCATCCACGACCAAATGGTTCAGCTCCATCCCACTGCCGAGTAAGTCCAGTCTCTGGGGCCGTAAACCCACACTTGTCCTCACCCAGCCCAGGAGGACCAGGGCCCAGAGGTGCAGAACTTCTCTGTCTCATTGCCCTATCTGCACAGCCACTGCCAAGGCTGCACTTGGGCCGCAACTGGTGCTGTGTTTAGGCCTAAACACAGCACCTGCTGTTACAGAGAGAGAACACTGGAACCAACCGGTGAATGAGCAAATGTATATTCCCTGGGGTTTGGGAGAGAGCAGACTTTCTTTCAAACTAACCCGTCTCTCCCCTGGCTCTTAGCGGGCTTGTGCTGGGTCCTCCCTCTATCCAACTCAGTCTTTTCCCCAGGTTTTCCATGCTAGACTTTGCCCCTTTATGTTGCCATTTTGGCTCCTACTGTGTGTCCCCAAAGTCTTGCTGCATCATCTGGTTTATACTACGCATGCGCTTACCTCCCCTGCACCATCTTGGCTTCTACTGCGCGTGTGCCTAGCAAAGACATTTCCCCTGATGTTTTTACTCCTCAGTCAGCCATCCTGGCTAATGACTGATAGCCACTTCTTCCTGCCCACTCTGGGGATTCAGTCCCCTCAGCAGAGGATGCAGCTGGCCCCTGGGGACCCTGTCGGTGCTGTGGCTTCCTAGTAAGTCAGGCTTAATGTCTGACTCGGCTCCCTAGTGAATCAGGCTTAGTGTGCGATTCCATTTGTTCCCTTCCTTAACGAACTAGCCACCTACACTCACAGGATGCACGGGATGCAACGGGAGGGCCAGGGGCAGGACTGAACTAGCTGATCTGCACCAGGAGGGCCAGCTGGGTTCTACATGATTTGAACTTACTTTCATACTGATTGGTAACGAGGCACAATCTCAGCATCTGGCTATTCCCCTGGGCTGCTCCTCACTCACGTGCCACAAGAGAATAACGAAAAGATTAAGCCCCAAACAGCAGAGGCCTCTAAGACCTGCTCTTGTACTTCTCCCACCCCTTCCTGATTGCCCTTGTCCTGCAGAGAAGGTCAGGGGAGGCTTTCTGGAAGAGGTGATGCTGTGCCGAGAGTGAACAAAAGTGATGTTAGCCAGGTAAACACAGCGCCGGTGCAGGCCCCTGGACGAGGGGGAATGAGTGGCGCCTGAGAAATCGTGCATCACTGAGTATCACAGCTCGTCTGATGCTGGCGAAGGATGGTGAGAAATGGCTTCAAGAGGCAAGTTGAGGCCAGGTCAGAAAGAGACTTGTATGCCCTCCTAAGACACCTGAACTTGATCAGACAAGTATGAAATGCCTTTGAAGAAGTCTCAGCTAGGAAGCAACACAATTAGATTTATATTTTATAGAAATAGTTGTGGCAAAATTGAAGAAAAGGATTGAAGGGCCCAAAAAACACCTGCTTACAGACTGTTGACATAATTCAGGTAAAGAAGTAAGTACCCTTTCTAAAATAGCATCCCTGGGATGTAGAGAAATGGTTGGAATCCAGAGACACTACAAAAAGGTAGAATCAATCGGGCTTTGTGACTGGATTGGAGTGGTGAGCTGCATGTTACACATTTTAAAAATCTATTTATCATCAGAACGATTTTATCCAAGTGAATCTTTGGTATGTGCTTCCAAAATTTAGAGCTGATCTTGCACAGAAAATGACCATGACCAGCTCATTCCCAAACCATTATTTTCTGAGGACTTGCCAGTAAAACCGATGCATTTTTGAGTCTTTTGACAGCTGTGGTGAAGGCTTTACTCTTTGCAGCTTCTAGTGAAGATCAGCACAGCCTTGGGCAGTGGTAGGTTCCCAGGTTTAGGACACGTGCCTCCTCCTTCAGCCGCCTCTGACCGGCCTTTCTTGGGGTGGCCCTGTTTCCCCAGGATGGACCATGAGGCGGCCCAGCTGGAGAAGCAGCACGTGCACGACGTGTATGAGAGCACTGCCCGGTACCTCAGCGACCTGCAGGGCAAAGCCTGGCCCCGCGTCCGCCAGTTCCTCCAGGACCAGGAGCCCGGCAGCCTCATCGCCGACATAGGTAACGCAGGGCCGGGCGCGTGGTGAGAAATAGATCCCATCGTGTCTTTCTTTTCAGAGTCAGTTTTCCTTGCTGTGCGAACCGGAAGTCTGAAATTGTGCCCTTGGCATGCCTGTAACCCAGCTCATTCACTTTATTTTTTTAATATACTTTTATTGATTTCAGAGAGGAAAGGAGAGAGAGAAATATTGATTGGCTGCCTCCTGTATGTCCCACACTGGGGATCTAGCCGGCAACCCGGGCATGTGCTCTGACCGGGATAGGTCCAGGCCAGTGGTCGGCAAACCGCGGCTGGAGAGCCACATGCGGCTCTTTGGCCCCTGGAGTGTGGCTCTTCCACAAAATACCACATGTGGGCGCGCACGTACAGTGCGAAGTTGACTTAAAACTTTAAGTAAAGTTTATTAAGTTAATTTTAGGGAACGTTGTGGAGTGAAAGAAGATGTATGGGAGAGTTGGAAGGGGTCAACCTCAGCGAACGTACCTCAATCAGATTGAGGACGTTTTTAGCAAAGGCCAGCTTAGGAGTACCCTAATTAAGTTAATAACAATGTACCTACCTATATAGTTTAAGTTTAAAAAATTTGGCTCTCAAAAGAAATTTCAACCGTTGTACTGTTGATATTTGGCTCTGTTGACTAATGAGTTTGCCGACCACTGGTCTAGGCTCAACCACTGAGCCACACCCCAGGGCAGCTCATTCACTTTATAGCAGAAATTCATACAATCAAGTCACAAAGTAGGAAGCTTCCTCAAACTTACATTTAGACAGTGGCGATCTTTTCAGCGTTTTGGGGCTCATCCTCCAACAAAATGGACCTGACGTCGGTTGAATAAATCCGGATTGAAATGACTGCTTGGGAAGCTGACTGTTGTAACTTTAGAGATGTTAGTGTGTTCCGGTGGCTCACCTCCAGTGGCTCTCATGCCTTCCACAGAAGATCCAGAGATCATAGAGTTCCTGTAACCTCTTAGTACATGGATTTTTTCTCCCTGAACTGTTCTGTGGGTGTTTCATTATTAGAGCCTGTCTTTAAATAGATCATGTCTTTGTAATCACAGACTTGCCTGGCAGACTTTGGCTAAGGATGTTTCTGAATTGAGTGGTAAACCACAGCCTGGTAGATCTAAGGTTAAGGTCTGGGATCCCCATTTGAGGCCTGCCCGCCTAAAACTGCTTTCTAACAACTGCATGAAGATTACACCCATGGAGTCCTAAGTCTGTACTTACACACTCGGCCTAATTTGACATTCACTCTAGTGCTGGTAAGAGAAACACTTGTGCCTGGCCAGGGCTTTTGACTTGTTAAAGATGGTGCGAGCAGTGTGGAATTTGGGGAAGGGGGGTGCATGTCATGTAAAATAGAGAGTCTTTGATAATATCTCTATCATGTCAGTGTTTGTTGTTTTTTTTAAATAAATCTGGTTTCAGAAGATACAGCAACTTTGGAACTCTTACCATTCGTAGCCTAAGCACAGTACCCGGATCTTAAAATCAGCTGGTAGGAAAAGGAACTATTCAACACGTGGCTTTAGGACCACAGCATGTACATATGCTACTTTCTTTCTCATACCTTACATCAGAAATTCCAAATGAAGTACCAATGGAAGTATAAGAAAATGAAATCATTAAAGGACTAGGGAATAACTAGATTATTTTAAAATAATAAAATAAAAAAGAATAAAATAGCCCTAGCCGGTTTGGCTTAGTGGATAGAGCGTCGGCCTGTGGACCAAAGGGTCTTGGGTTCAATTCCGGTTGCAGGCTCCTCCCCAGACCAGGAAGCAACCAATCGGTGTGTTTCTTTCACGTCACTATTTCTCTCTGTTTTTCCCTCTTTCTTCCACTCTCTCTAAAATCGATGGAAAAATATCCTCGGGTGAGGATTTTAAAAATAAATAAAATAAAAAAAAATCTCAGAGGCAAAAGGCCTTTCTCTGTATGATATTTTTTAAAAAGTCAGAAAGCATTAAAAAAATACAATTGATTGTCATTTTTCACAGTATTTATGTTCTATAAAGTTGCCAAGGACACTGAATTAGTGAATCCTGCATGATAACCCTTAGGGGAAGTACAGGATTCAGTTCCTGTGAACCTCTGGTCACATTTTTGTCAACTGGTAAATACCTAACCTGGTTCCATGTGTGTCTCTGTTTATTATTGACTAGAGGCCCGGTGCACAAAAATCGTGCATTGGGGGGGTGGGGGGGTAGAGGTCCCCTTAGCCCAGCCTGCACTCTCTCCAATCCGGGACCCTGTCTGACTGATGGTTTAGGCCCGATCCTAAACCGTGATCGGGCCTAAACCAGCAGTTGGACATCCCTCTCGCAATCCGGGACCACTGGCTCCTAACTTCTCACCTGCCTGCCTGCCTGGTCACCCCTAACTGCCCCCTTTGCCAGCCTGATCGACCCCAACTGTCCCCCACCCCTGCTGGCTTGGTCACTCCACACAACGCTGGCCTGGCCCCACGCAGCCTGCTGTTCAGTCATTTGGTTACCCCTCACTAACCCCCCTGCCAGCCTGGTCGCCCCACACAGCCTGCTGCTTAGTCGTTACTGTTACTGTGATGGCGTCCCGGACAATTTGCATAATCCTCTATTATTAGTATAGATTTGTTAACAGTGAACTCACAGGCAACAACTATACCTGATGCCTGGACAAAATGTATTTTGTCCATAAGGCCCGTCTCAGCCTTCCTGCACTTAGAAACTGTAGGCAGCACTTCAGCACGATGCTGAATTTTAAACAGTGAAATCACCACCAAAAAGTACGGAAATGCACAAAATGTGTGTGGTGCAGAATACAAAGTAGAGGGAAATGGAAGCATGCAGACACTTTCTGGTCTCTCTTCAATCCTACGAAAGGTCAGCATTTAATGAGACTTTGCAAAGGACCTGGTTGTTGTGTACCCGTGCTTGCTGCAGCACCGAAGATCTTCTGATTTATTCCTTGCACATTTACAATAGTGGGGTGACTAGGCTTGGCTGTGTTCTGGCTTTCCTTATTAGGATAAAACCTTCCCTCTCTAGCATCTCCATGTGTGCACTTAGAAAATGGATAACTACATCAGATTTGAGATCTCCACTGTTATCCTTAAACATGAATACCATTAGAAATGAATTTGGGATGAGTCATGCTGGGAAGTTTTTAGGAGATGCTGAGATTTTTAAAAGACTTCAGTTTCCTCGTTATTACCAGATGCTCTCTGAACACTTCCTTCTAAGACTAATCATCTATAAATCTGTTTTTATTAGTATTTTTGAAGTAATTTTCCTTTCTTTTCTCTAAATGTAGCCCCTGAGCCAATAAAAAAAAAAAACAACACAATAAAAAAACAAGATTCTTTTAAAAAACATGACCATCATCTTTGTAATCAGGATTTCAGTTTTAAAACACTCTGTGGATTATATTTTCCCCATGATTGCTCTTAAATATTGGATACTTTTTCTCACAAGCATTCTAAGGAACAGTGGCCATGAGATCTGAAATATTTATAAGACCTCAACCATTTACATAGAAATAATAACATTGGAAATATTATTTTTTATTCATAAGCCCTCCACTGTCTCACCTGGCATCAGCAAACCTTAATTATGCTTGTGGTGTCTCATGTAATTTTGAACAGCTCCTATCAAGGAGGAGTTATTTAAAAAGTGTGACAGCCCTGCTGGCATGGCTCAGTGGTTGAACGTCGATCTATGAACCAGGAGGTCACAGATCCATTCACGGTCAGGCCACATGCCCGGGTTGCAGGCTCGATCCTCAGTGGGGCGTGCAGGTGGCAGCCGATCAATGATTCTCTCTTATTATTGATGTTTCTATCTCTCTCTTCCTCTCCCTTCTTCTCTGAAATCAATAAAAATAATATTTTTAAAAAGTATTTCAGAAGCTGCAAATTAATCATCTTTGAATAGTGGTTATATTTTAGAAAAATATGAGACAAAAATCTACAGGTAATTCCAGAAGGTACAAATATCATCAGCTCTGTTGATATCTTTAAATATTTCTGAAAAGGAATTAGATGAGGTGTCTGTACTAGAATATACCAGGTACTAGATTTGGAAGGCTTTGTTTCAGGGTGGTGATTCATTCACGGCGCCATCTTCTTCCCTGTAATATCACTGAGATCTGATTGACCTAAATCTCTGGGCTGTGTAAATGTTGAATGACTTGGGTCTCTGCCATCAGAAAGTGAATGTCAAAAATGGTCTATTTAAGAAAAGAATAGTTCTTTCTTAGGTTGTATACTGAGTCATGTGAAACCGAGCACTGACGATAGGGTGGATGAAAAACTGTTGAAATCTTTTTTTCATTCAAATTAAAATTTTGAAAAGCCTGTTTTCTTTATAGCCATTTAAAAGTTGTGGGCAGTAGTTTGTTTTATGTAACCAGTAAGCAGTCTGTCTGTCTAGAGAGATGGCAGGAGAATAAAGGCCAGAATATATGGATCTGTACATAATGAAATATGGATGTGAAGGCAACTTTAGTAAAGGGACTGGACTGTCCCTGGGACGCTAGGGACCAATCATTTCTTCCATGGGCCAGCTAATAGCTGTGCTAGCATGCTGCGCCCTCTGGACATTACCTCGCTAAATATTTAATAAGTATTATTTAGGTTTTCCAATCCCTTTTTCCTCTTCTATTCTATTTGAAAATATGTAAGAGCTGTCTGAAGGCTTTGCTTTTGCTTCTGTGTTTACCTTCACATCATGCTGTATTCTGTGTCACTTAGTTAATATAAAGCTATTTCTGTTCTTGTTATAAGACAAGCTGACCGACATTGTTCCATTCTCCTTTAAGCATGTAACACAGTTTTTCTCTTACAGGTTGTGGGACTGGAAAGTACCTTAAAGTGAATAGCCAGGTATATACCCTGGGCTGTGACTATTGTGGGCCGTTGGTAGAGATTGCCCGGAGTAGGGGATGTGAAGTCATGGTATGTGACAACCTTAATCTCCCCTTTAGGGATCAGGGCTTCGATGCCATCATCTCCATAGGAGGTAAGGCAGCCTGGTTACATGTTCCCTCTTTGCCATGAGAATCATGTTGCGTGGTTGAGGCCATTCTTACAACCCAACATCCATTCTTTGTGGAAGGGTCTATGTCAGTGGTTCTCAACCTTCTGGCCCTTTAAATACAGTTCCTCATGTTGTGACCCAACCATAAAATTATTTTCGTTGCTACTTCATAACTGTAATGTTGCTACTGTTATGAATCATAATGTAAATATCTGATATGCAGGATGGTCTTAGGCGACCCCTGTGAAAGGGTCGTTCGACCGCCAAAGGGGTCGAGACCCACAGGTTGAGAACCGCTGGTCTATGTAGTTCATTTTATCTAATTTTTAAAAATATACCAACTGATTGAATTATTTGAGTAATCTCAAATGTACTTATGGTGGGACATATAATTATTTTAACTAGTTAAACTTTCAAACTGTTATTTTATTCTTTTTGAAGACTCATTCCAGTTTCTTTTGCTTATGAGTAAGGAAGTAGTAGAGGAATTTTACTCATTGAGAACAGTACATTGTTATATTGCAATGTAGCCAGATCTCCCAGCGTGAGGTGGACATTTCAAAGTCATATGACCTATTTTAGGCCATAAGTGTGCTCTTTAGTAGCAGAATATTGTAGGACGAATGCCACCTGGAAGGATGTGTCATCCAATCTGCCACTTGCTGGTAGGCAAGTCCCGGGGGAAGACAGCCCCACCTGGTCCCAGATTGCATTGTTTTTATAATGCCTCTCAGCTCGAACTGCCAGAGATTGCTCATAAATCTAGGGAGTATGTTTCTCATATCCTCCCAGCAAGAGTGCCCATAAATACACATGCCACAACTTAAAAAAAACACAAGACACAGCAAAAATCCTTGCCTGAAATTTACACAGGCTCATTTTACTCAAAACACATAGTCCTGAAACCTGGTAGGTTAGTCATATTTAAATATGCTTGGTGCCCTTGCTGATCTCATGGCAACTTCTTTGGCAAAGCAAACTATTTGCTCCAAAACACTTTAAAAATTAGTCTATTTGAATATACTAAGCTTTATTAAAGCAAAGGGAACCTATATAAAATTGACTGACCAGATAAAAACTCAGCATAAAATGGTTTTCTCTCTCCTGAAGTAGATGAGAAGTGGATTTATTCAACATTAGATGGGGACTGTATCTTTGTATATTGAGGCCTGGATGCCATAACCTTGGAACTAGTTAGGACCAGCAGGAGATGGTTGCCATGGAAACCTGCTGTGTAGTAGTCCTGCTTCTTCGCAGTTGAAACTGTTAAGTTCAAAATGGGGATATTTGTAAAGACCTAGAATCTGAGAGAGGTCAGAGAGGAGGATTCCTTGCTCTTCGCTAGCTTACATTAGTGTTAGGGTCTGCAAGGCCACCTACATCCAGGCCAGCCTGCTGAGCCCCTGTGGTGGGCATGGGCTGTTGACCTGCTTTCCTGCTTTGGGGAAATGCTCTGTGTGCACAGGGTCAAGTCCTTCTCTGCTTCCACTTGAAGTCCCATGCCTTGTCCCAGAGGAAGTGGGGCATACTGGCTGTCATCCTCTGGTGAGAAGTGTTCCCTTAAGTGGAAACACAGCCTGTGCCCTGACCATGATGGAACCGGCCACCTTTCAGTGCACAGGATGACACCCAACTGAGCCACACCGGCCAGGGCGCTATATGTTTTTTATAAAATGTTGCCTAATAACATGTTTATGATGATATAAAGGCAGTCCTGCTTGACTCTCACTTTAACTTTGCAGGGATTGAAAGTAAAAATGATGACCTAGAAGTTAACTTTAAAAAATATATATATTCAACCATTTTATATTACATTAACATTCTTAAAAATGATAAGCAATCATTTGGACTTGAGCTTGACTGGCTATCTTTGCATTATCTAAGTAGAAAAACATCTTTAGCATTTTTCTCCACTCCTGTTTGATTTATTAACACTGATTAGTGGTATTAATCCTTCAGAGCTTTAGAAGTACCAATCATTCATTAAAGTAATGAATTACTTCATAGAATTCTACTGGTAGCACTTACCTAACTTAGTGCTTCCTTGCAGATTTTATCAATTCACATTGTTCACCCTCTAGTTAACACAATTCATAGGATTTGGGAACTGGAAGAGATTTTACATTATTCATTCGAGGTGTCATAGATGAAGAGACTTAAAACCCATATAAGTTAAATAATTTCCCAAGATCAGTTGTCTACTAATTACAGGAGTCGACGCTAGCAATTATGTCTTTCCCAAAGCCACGCCTGTGCTATTTCTACCACATACCCTGCCCTGTAGGAAATACGGAGATTTTACTACATGTCAAAATTGCATCCCTGTTACATGGAAAATACTAATACATAAATGTGTAGGTTTATGTATGTACATACGCGTTGAGATTGAGTTTCTTCTTTTTTCAGTTATACATCATTTCTCTACAAAACAAAGAAGAATCCGAGCAATAAAGGAAATGGCCCGTGTCTTGGTTCCCGGAGGCCAGCTGATGATTTACGTTTGGGCTATGGAGCAAAAGAACCGGCACTTTGAGAAGCAAGACGTGCTGGTTCCGTGGAACAGGGCCTTATGCTCCCGGCTCCTGTCCGAATCCAGCCAGCCTGGGAGAAAGAAGCAGTGTGGACATCTAGAGAGAAGCCACCCCTACCACCCTCCTTGCTCTATGTGTAGCTGCTCTGTTTGTTTTAAGGAGCGACGGGACTCAAAACGGTCCCACAGCGTGGACTATGAACCTGTCAGGGCCAGGACTTGTTGTGCAAACATTTCAAAGGAAGCTGGGGAAGAAAATGGGTTCTATCACACATTAGGAAAATCTTTTCGCTCCTGGTTTTGCTCCAGATCTTTGGATGAGTCAAGTCTGAGGAAGCAAATTGAAAGAGTGAGACCCTTGAAAAACACAGAAGGTTGGGCCACCAGCACTATATCCATCCAGCCTTCCAGACACTCTAGTTTAGACAGGGATCCCCAAGAGCCATTTTCAACAAGAGAGCCAAGTTCAGATGAGGACGTGTTTGTGGAAAGTTCTCAGAAGCATTTGGAGTGGCTGAGAGCACCAGCCACCGTGAAACATCTCCGTGGAGACCATCAAGGAGAAACTGGGAGGAATGGCGGTGGGGATTGTCTGGGTAGCACCCATACTCCTGAGGAGTGTGCGGCTGCGGGTGCCTTAGGAGAAGGGAAGCCTTCTGCTCCTAGAACACTGAGGAGGATTTCTACGGTTGACTCCACAGATTCCACCCCAGATGACACAATTCCTGTCGAAGGACAACAGCCCGACGTTTTGGATTCCAGGGCCTTTATGCGCTACTACCACGTGTTTCGCGAAGGCGAACTCTGTGGCCTGCTGAGAGAAAATGTGTCAGAGCTCCATATCCTGAGCTCTGGGAACGACCATGGCAACTGGTGCATCATTGCCGAGAAAAAGGAGACCTGTGATTGACTGGCTCATCTCAGACAGCTCCTCCGGAGATGCGCCACGCTCCTGTCCCCGGCGTTGGGATGGCTACCTGACTCTGCATCCACTTCCACTATTTTTTAACCCATGCATGCTCTAGTCTGTAGAGACTATGGAAGGTCATCTTTTGAATCTTTGCGTAAACACAGAGCTGGGCATCTGAAGCATTTGGCGAAGGGTATTTGTGATTCAGTGTTGATGGAAGAGATCTGAAGAAGCAGCGTGCAGTGAGCTTCAGTACAGTTTGGGGTTTCTTCCCCCTGAAAGATGAAATTATTATGAGACTACATGTGTATAGTTTTTCAGTCTTATAAACTGATTTTAAAAGATCCTGTTTGTAAGTATACCTTCTAAAAATGGCATTTTTATAAAGTTAGGGGGTAATTCTGTTTCTCAGATTATGTTTTAGATCTGTGTGCCAGATAACAGGTAAACCTGTTCCATTGCACAGGTGGAAATTGAACCTGGTGATAAATTATTTTGTTGCCAAGGCCTTGCTTCGACTTAAAGTCTTCAGAAAGGTGAGAAACAGTAGAGAGAGAAAAGAAGTGTTACCGGACTTTTCGAAACGATAAGCAATCTCCCTTCAAGCTAAGTGGATAACAAGGTTATCAATGTCACTCAGAAGTTTTTAAAGGCACTGTTAGCACAGAGTGTCTGTGGGTATTTGTAGTTGGTATTTTTCTGACCTTAATAGACCAGGAATATCCAGTTGTGATAAGACTAAGATTGACCAAGGAGGAGTTTTCACCTAGAACAGTGGTTCCCACCTTTTTTTGACCATGCCCCACCTAAGCATCTCTAAAATCCTGATGCCCCCCTGTGGCATATAATTCTTATTACTCAAAAAGTGAACTCCTATTCACATGGAGGAAGCCTAAAAGGCCATGAACTTGGTCTAAGTTCCAAAGAACATGGCATCCATGAAAGAGAAAAATAAAAGAACGAAAGGATAGTTGAAGTACTGAGGAAGAAATCACTACGAAATTGTTTTAAAAATAATAATAATATGAAGTGATATGAAAAAATAGCAAAGTTTCAAAACATAATAGAGAACTGAAATGCATAAATATGTCACAGTGTGTATTTATATACTGTATATGAGGCCCCTAGAACCATAAGAAATGCAAAAAATTCACTGTTAGTAACTCCTTCTCAAATTGCCCTCCTGTGGGGCGTGTGGCCCATGTTGGGAACCACCGACCTGGAATGATGATCTTTGGACTGAATGGATATTTAGGAAATGAGGATCTGGGTGAAGCTCTCTTTTGGCTCTCAGTACAAAAGACTGTTAAGGGGTAAGATATTCGGCATTGATGGGAGATCAGGTGTTGAACTTTTGGAAATAATACCCAAGTACTTATCCTTTTGAAAGTGACCATTTTGTTAGTTATAGTAGACATTTAGGCAGAATCAAGTCCTATTCATTAAAGGTTGAATTCCTGCCACTTTACAGACAATCCCGTAGATTGGGCATTGTGTGGTCACTGCCTCTGTTTAGATTTAACCATGGATCTGTTTAAATCCATGTCGTGGATCCTGAAACGTAGATATAACTAGGACGGGACTAGAGATCTAAGAAAAGCAGAAATAAGTTGACCCAGGAATACAGCCTCAGATATTTCCTCAATGAGGAGAGAATTGGCATTCGACAAAGAGCCTGTATACTTTATGGACCATTGTAATCCTGAATGAAAATCCAATTCTTGTTCTATTTTCCACTAAAATTAATTGAAACAGTAAAGTATTTCATTTGTTTCTTTTTTTCTTCAGTGATTGTGCTCTGACTTAATAATGCTACTTCCAAAGAAACTTAAAGAACAATTTTTAATGCTTAGCTGAACATTACCAATGTTTATAACTCATTTGGCTTTAAAATAAGACTGCATCACCACCTTTCTGGTTGATGAGGTTGTGTGGTAGAAATGAGACATGGTTTGTATTGTTCAGTGCAGTTTGCATTAGCAAGACAATGAAAACAGGCAGAGAAGTGGGATATAAATTAGAAATTAATTTAGTGTCATCCATTTCTCTTTTTAAAATACATTTTTATTGATTTCAGAGAGGAAGGGAGAGGGAGAGAGAGAAACATCAGTGATGAGAGAGAATCATTGATTGGCTGCTTCCTGCACGTCCCACACTGGGGATCGAGCCCAAAACCCAGGCATGTGCCCTGACTGGGAATCAAACCATGACCTCCTGGTTCATAGGTCGATACTCAACCACTGAACCATGCCAGCCGGGCAGTGTTGTCCATTTCTTAAATTAGGACATTAAACCATGAGTATAAGTGGTTTTATTGGTAGAAAGAAAAGATTCTTGGAGTCAGAGAAGTTCTTACAATTAAAGCTTGATGGCCTTTTTATTGCGAGTGGATTTTTCCTCTCTTTGAAGCCTGTTGTCAGATGTATTTTTAATCCCAGTCCTGCTGCGAGAAATCAGTCGGAAGTCTTTCTGGTGGTAGCCTGCCACTTACATAAAACTCAGTTCATTAGACTGCTCCAAAAAGCTTTGAGCTAACCCGTATGAACAGCCTCCTACACACACACACACACACACACACACACACACACACACACACACACACTTTGTAGAAATGATTCTTTAGAATGGTTTTTGATAAAGACATATTTTCACATAATTTTGACAGGGCTGTAAATGAAAAACCATTAATAACAGCAATCTTTCACTCTTCGTCTGCTGAGCACAGAATTCTGTGCATCCAGACCTTATTTTGTATGCAAATATTTAATTCCATGGCTGATAATGTCTCTTTGGTATATTCATGTGAAAAGCATTCTTAAATCTAACTTTTACCTTTGGATATATATCCATATATATCATATCTCATATATCATGAGATATGGAAGAGCCTAATGTAAGTATCTTGATCATTTCAAAGTCTTGCTCATCTTTAAAATTGTCCTCCAAAGGAAATACAAGTCATAAGTGAGCTTAAACACTCACAGGTTATTTGTGAGTGTTCAGTCTGCCTTAACTTGCTCGATTATAGATTTTGCTGCTCTGTCTGAAATGATTTAAAAGCTCAGACTCCATTATTAATACTAGCCCAACAGTATCCCACTCCTTCTCTTTTACTTGCCGGCATCACTGCGGAGTCCCCCAATCAGAAGTAGAGGGATTATTGGGGATGTTTCTAAAAACCTTTGCTGGTTTATTGCTGCCTCACTGGCTTATTTGCAGAATTCCATATAAACAGTCAAATGATTTTGGGAAAACTGCATTCACATAGACAGAGGATGCAATCAAAATAACGTTCTGGTGGGAACCATGCGAGAGGCCTTTTCAGATTATTTTTAAATTGTCACTGCAATGATGAAATGACACCAGGCTATTGTAGTAACTAGCAGACCATCTATATCTTGGAGCATCGTGTTGGTCCTCCTTTCTCCTCATCCATTCTTTTGCAGGATGCTGTGTAATTCTTGTCTCTAGTTTGCCTTTCTGTGTCCTCGCAAATTCTAAATGTCAAGAATTCCCTGCATTTTAACTGAGCATCAACTGAATGGCCAAAAATTAGACGTAATCCAGAGAAGACTAATCCAACTATAAATCAGCTAGAAACATCAATGAACTTGTATATTAATGGCCAAAAAAGGCGTAAGCGTTGGTGGACTTTTTAAGTAAAAATAAATAGGTTTGAAGGAGGACAGAGGCTCTAATCCAGTAGTTGTTAAACTTGGTGGGGCACCTTAAAAGTGAGCTGTGCACACCCATTATAGGAGGGAGAGGGTGGAGTGGAAACACTGGCCAAGCAGCTACAGTCTAAGAACAAATTAGGGCAGGCTGGAGCTTTTGTCTCCTACTATGTAGAAAATTTGAAATATATTGATAACAGCTAACTTTTCTTAATATCTAACATTTATTTTATCTGTAATCCTAACCATAGCCCTCTAAAATAAGCATATTTATTGTTCCCATTTTACAGATGAGGAAAACTGAGACAGAAAGAAATTGCCCAGCATCACAGTCACACCCATAGTAAGTATCACACATCTAGTGAGGGGCAGGGCTGAGCTTCAACACCTGGCAGTCTGACTCCCAGCCAGTACTCTCAACCACAACATTATGTACACCCAGTCACATTATCTACACTAATAAAAGACAAACATGCAAATTGACTGTACATTTGCCATGCCTTAAGCCACACCCACCAGCCAATCAGCCACTATATGCAAATTAACCCAACCAAGATGGCGGCCAGCAGCCACAGAGCTGGAGCAAGCAGGAGGCTTGGTTGCCCCAATGATGGAGGAAGCCAAGCTTCCCAGCTGCCGCGGCCGGCTCTGAGCTCCACTCAAAGCAACAAAGTTTCAATTATAGAAGGTAAATAAATCCCAGAATAAAAAGAAAAAAAAGAGAGGCTGGGAGCTTCAATTACCCACCAGCCTGAAAACAGCCCTCAGCCCCTCACCCAGACTGGCCAGGCACCCCAGTAGGGACCCCCACCCTGAAGGGGGTGTGACCAGCCTGCAAACACCCATCAGCCCCTCACCCAGGCTGGCCAGGCACCCCAGTGGGGACCCCCACCCTGAAGGGGGTG